GAGAGAGAGAGAGAGAGAGAGAGAGAGAGAGAGAGAGAGAGAGAGAGGCTAAAGGTGTCAAAGGCGGTGGAAATCTCCAGGGACCTTGACCCCTTGAGCAGAAAATGAAAGAAACCCCTGGTTTTGATTTCAGAGAAATGCCATTTGTCATCAGCCCAGGAAAAGGAAATTTTTCTCTTCAAAGACCACCACGGGCTTCCTGGGGTTGCCCCCCTCAGAGCCTGCTGGGAGGATCTGAGTCACACACACCTAGTCTTTGCTGTGGTCCAGAGGACAAGGGTCAGTCTCACAGAGTAAGTGAGGCTTGATGCACTAAGCCGGGGGAAAGGGAAGAGGCTTGGCCTTCTCCCTTCTGCTTCAAATTCTGTGTCTCTATCCTTATACTTCTGAGGTATCAGAAATGCTCTCCAGCTACTCTATGCTATGGCCACCTCTAGGACGCAGAACTAATAGCAGCTGAATGCTGTGTTGTACTCACAGACCACTTCCTCATGCATGATACTTCATCTTCACCCCCGCCTCTGGAGGAGACCTTGATACTGGATGCATGAGGTGACTGAGGGATGGATGACTTGCCCAAGGTGACTCAAGTAGTAAATGGCAGAGACAAGGCTTAGACTCTGACTATCCCAAAGTCCCTGTCACCACAGGTTCACATCTTTGACTATAAGGAACTCACAAGTGCGTTAGAGTGAGGAGGCAAGGCAGTCTGGGTTGTTAAAAGCAGATCTGTAGTCTCTCTTACAGGTCTTAAGCAGAGACAGAGTAAAGCCACACCCCTCTGGGGGACTGTTGCAGACTGATACTTGGGATGACTGAGGACAGGGGCGGGGCTAGCTGGGGTGGTGGGCAGGAGCCCCAAGAGCAGTAGAGAGCACGCGGTGCCAGGAGGCAGCTACAGAGGTGAGTTCCCCTCTCCCCCTCACCCCCACCATGCTGTTTACTCATGGAGGGTCTGCACAGAGCTAGGCCTGTTAGATGCTAAGACTCCTAGGCTATCTCTCTTTCTGTCTCGGGCTCCAGTATTCTGGGCCACCTGTGCCATGACGGTTTTGATGTGTGATTAAACTCTTGATTTGTTGGGCATTTTCTGAGTCTTCATTTTCTGGCTTACGAAAAACATAACTCAAACCATTCTTGGTCCCCACTGTGAGAGGAACTGGCTTCCCCTCTCCAGTCTCCTTTTACTCTCTTTGACTTCCTCAGGCGTCAAAGCCTTCTCTAAAGCTCCTGTGTGGCTCCCCTAACTCACTGGATGACAGTCTCTGCTCTTTTCTAATTCCTTCTCCGAGGGTGTGTTCTAGAAGCTTCAGTCTTGCAGAGACAACTGGGTGACGCCCTAGAGTCTGCTCTCCTGCCATGGGAGCTGTCTGATGCTTTCTCCAGCTTTCTGGGGTCACAGTGGGGGAGGACCCAAAAGCTTTCTGAGCTCCCTCCTGAGATCACATCTCACTCCATTCATAAACGCCAGGTTTTATGCACAGTGAGGAAAAGGCCAGGATGCTTAGAGGCTTTCCCTGCAAAAGAGCCTGGGGAAGCCAAAACCTTTCTTAAGCTGGGAGTTTGTGACCTATAGCAGCCCTAAACCTACTACCTGATACCTCTGCTAACTGCCTGGCTATAGCTCGTCAGGCCCCAGACCTGACCCCTGGCCCAGTGTGCATTCTCCTAGTGTGGCATCCCCACAGCTGGCCTTTGGCTTAGTTCATTTGATTCATTCAGGACAGATAGAACCAATCTGAGCCCACTCAACCCTCTCTCCCTTCCCCTCCACAGGCCTGAGAGTATGCGGCTTCTCCCTCCCCTTTCTTCCATGGACCATCCATTGTGGCTTTCTTCTCAGAGCTTGTGAGACTGGTAGACTAGGCAGGAACAATGCCCCAGACCCCCACAAGACTAATCAGCCCCTATGGCTCTGATAGGTTGGTACAGTTAGCTGCTAGGCTCCGGCCAGCACTGTGTGACACCCTGATCACCGTCGGGGGCCTGGAGTTCCCTGCTCACAGCCTAGTGCTGGCAGGTGCGAGCTCCCGGCTGGGTTGCCGGGGCAGGTGGGCTCTGGTTGAAGGCATAAGCCCTTCCACCTTCGCTCAGCTTCTGACCTTTGTGTATGGACAGAGTGTAGAGCTACAGCCTGGGGAGCTGGGGGACCTGGAGGAGGCAGCCAGAGCCTTGGGGGTACAGGCCTTGGAAGAGGCCTGCAAGAGAGCTCAAAGGGGCAAGAGAGATGATGAGCTGCATCCAGGACTGAAGAGGCACCAGCAGTCAGAGTTGATGAGGGGTTCTGAGAGAGGACTGGGGGGTCCTGGAGAGAAACAGAAACCAGAGGGTTTTAGGAGTGACGAGAGAGAACAGGAGATGTCACACAGGCACGAAGCGCCTGGAGAGAGCCCTGAGATGGCAGGAGTGACTAGGATGATGAGCACAGAGGAGGCGCTCAGTTCAGCCCCCGTGGGCTACAGGGGAGCAGAAACAAAGCAAGCAGAGGTCATGGAAGGTATGGCGAGCCACAGGGGCTCTGAGGAGAGTCTTCGTGGGTGTCCTGGTCCACTTTCCCCACCAGGTTCCCTCCTAACTAGCCTCATTCCCAGGCCCTGGTGGGCTGAAGCCCCTTGGTTGGGGGAGGGCCAACCTGCCTTGTGGAGCATCTTGTTGTGGCCGTCCAGATATGGCGTTCCCTTCTCCCATAGTACCCCCATCACTGCGGCCTGGCAGGTCTGGCCTCAAGATGAGAGGTGAGTGAAGGGCTTAAAGGAGAACATGTAGGCAGGGAGGGAGTGGCTCCAGAGAGGCAGCAGTGATGGGCAGAAGGGTACCACATCTCTTATGCTCATTGTACGTTTCCTGAGTTAGAGACAACAAACTCTTCTCATCACAAGACAGGCCAGAGCTGGTTAGGTTCTCAGGCTTTGCCAAGGCTGTAATTCTTCTCTACCCAGGATCCCACTGTCCCTGAGCCACTCCAAAGGTCTCTGGAGTCAGAATCAGCTGGCTTCCTCTAGCCCCACTCCAGGTAAGCCCCTCAGTATTCCACACAGGGCTTCTGCCCAGCAGCTGGGCTCCAGGAGTCCAGCCTTAGCAGGGCCGCTGCCTCACTCTGTTTCCAGGATCTTTTCCCCAGGGCACTAAAAACTCAGCCCTTGGGAGATAGAAGAGTCTGGGCAAGGGTACACAGGTAAGTAGGGTGAGAACTGCTGCCTCCCCTCACCGAAGCTTTTAACGTCTTGTTTGGACACTGTATTGATTCAACCTCAGGGATTCTGGGTCACGGCATTTCTCTGTCCACACAGGCACACTGGCCACCTGTGTGAGTCAAGAACGCACATTGACCTGCCCATCTCACCAACACCCTCCTTTACCCTCACCTGCTCGCTCTCGGCCCTATTCTTGCTCTGTCTGTGGAAAGCGGTTTTCACTCAAGCATCAGATGGAGACACATTACCGAGTCCACACAGGTATGGGCATCCTGCCCAGTGTGAATTTGTCTTTTAAGTTTCCATCGCTGGTCTGCCAGCTCCTCCCTTGCCCTGTCGCTCGATGCACCCCTAGCTTGGACAGCCTTCGCCCATTTCTTCCTTCTCTGGCTTTCTCCTCCACCTGTAGGAGAGAAGCCCTTCTCCTGTAGCCTCTGTCCTCAGCGCTCCCGGGATTTCTCTGCCATGACCAAGCACCTGAGGACACATGGGGCTGCTCCCTATCGCTGCCCTCTGTGCAGGGCTGGCTGCTCTAGCCAGGCCTCCATGCAGGCGCACATGCGTGGCCACTCGCCCAGCCGGCTGCCGCCTGGATGGACCATACGCTCCACCTTCCTCTACTCTTCCTCGAGGCCAACACGGGCCTCCATCTCTCCCGGTAGTTCTGCCTCCTCCGCTGCCACCTGACCGGGTGTTGGTAGCTTCTCTGGCTTGACAAGACTCCAACCAAAGGATAGAATAAAAGGCAGAAGAGTTCAGCCGGCGGCGCCGTCGCTAGGGCGGCCTGGCAAATTTATCCGCAGAAGAGCTGCGGGACGGGAGCTACGAACCTTCTCCGGATGAGCGAGCTGCAGAAGCCTCGGCCAGCTGGCAAGTCCGAGTTAAGGACAATTAACCTGGTGAAGATTAGCTGGGGACTGTCAATTTCATCACTATAATAAAGTTTCCTGTGCCCTCCAGTCAAGATGAGTCCAGACTTTTCCTCTGCGCTAGGGGTTCCCACCCTTTCCCTGTAGCGGCCCCTGCTGGCCATTCACCGTAGGCTAAACAGAGGGTCACACTTTTCATTTCCGGGGGGCTTCGCATAATTCCCGAGGGCAGCACGCCGCAAAGGCGCTCCAGACCCTGCGGGAGGGGAAAGGTGGCTTTGAGGCTCCTCAAGACTCTGGTTCCTTCCACAGCAATCCACCGCGCGCGTAGTCTAGGGCTGGAGAGGAGCGCAGGCTCAAGTCCCGATTTCGACCACCCGTCTGCTCTCCTCTGAGTAAGGGATGGGAGACCAGCCTCCCCAGCATCTCCCCTCCGCGCCGGGCGATGCGGCTACTGGGTTGCGCTTGGAAGTGAGACTAACCCAGCACCACCGCCCTTCTTCCCTCAGCCCACGCCTAGAGCGGAAGCTAACTTCGTTTGCTGTGTGTCCGCCGGGTTCCCAGGGTCCGAAGCCAACGGTACCCTGGGAATGCTAGTCCATGCAGGTCGCTAGTTCCGACTAGAACAATGGGAGGAGTCTGAGCCGGGAACCACACCTCCTGGAGACCAGGAACTGGCTCTCCGGGTCTCTGTCGCCAACCCGGTATTCCCAGTTCTCGCGCCCCAGCTGTCGGCGGAAGGAGCAAGGCGGCTGGACTACATTTCCCAGAAGACCTTGCGCCTCCCGCTCTCAGGCCGCGACGCGGGGTCTGCTCTTCAGGTGCGGCTTGAGGGTGACGGCCGACCGGCCCAGGACTCCTGCTCCCGTGGTGCCCCGCGCGTGGCCAGCCCAGCCCCCGGCTCCTGCCCGCCCCACAGCGGCGCTGGTTGTTGTCGTGAGACGCAGCCGCCCCGCTTTGCCCCTCCTCTCCTCCCCTCCCCCCGGCCCTGCGCACGGGCCGCCCCTCCCCCCGCCTCCCCGGCCCCTCTCACGGTGCCAAGATGGCGGCGGCGGCGGGCGGCGGCAGTTGCCCCGGGCCTGGCTCCGCACGGGGCCGCTTCCCGGGCCGGCCGCGGGGTTCCGGTGGGGGCGGGGGCCGCGGCGGCCGAGGCAGCGGAGCCGAAAGAGTGCGGGTAGCCCTGCGGCGCGGCGGCGGCGCGGCGGGGCCGGGAGGAGCCGAGCCCGGGGAGGACACGGCCCTGCTCCGTTTGCTGGGTCTCCGCCGGGGCCTGCGCCGGCTCCGCCGCCTGTGGGCTGGTGCGCGCGTTCAGCGAGGCCGGGGCCGCGGCCGGGGCCGGGGCTGGGGCCCGAACCGAGGCAGCATGCCGGAGGAAGAGAGCAGTGACGGGGAATCCGAGGAGGAGGTGAGGCGGTCGGATGTGTCTCCAGCGCCGGGTGGGGCGGAGGCCAGGGGCTTGCAGGGCTCCGGGTAGCTCCGAAGGGGGTTGTGGACAAGCGGGATTCTCGGGGCTCCTGGAAATAAGCATGAAGGAAGCAGGCTGCGTGGAGCTCTCGGGTGGCTAGGGCCTTTGAAAGTGGTCAGAGAATCCCTGACTGCAGCTAGACGCCTGGGCTCCAGGCAAGCCCTGTCGGTGTCCTGAGCTGATCTTTCGCGGTAGCAGTGGCAGAGCAGGACAGGAGTGGGTGAGGAGGCCATAGGGATTGCATGCCGGACCAGTGGGAAGAGGCCATAGGGATTGCATGCCGGACCAGTGGGAAGAGGCCATAGGGATTGCATGCCGGACCAGTGGTGGTTGACAGCAGCAGCGTGGCCTTAACTCACCAAGGCTAGAGCCTCCTGGGCGCGTACTTACGGGCTGTCTTCTTGGCCTTTAAAACCCGCGACATATCCCTGGTTTCACCAGTACCCCAGTTGCTCTCTGGTGCTAAGGTGGAGTGGTGGAGGCTTCTTAGGCGCGGGTTGAAGAGGGGTAGAATGAATGCTGAGTCTGGAGTCTGGAGTGAGTGCAGTCATGGTTTTATCCCTCTCAACCTTTTGGAAAAGGCAGGAGGGAGTGGATTATATTGCTTAGGAGAGCTAGGTGTCCTCTGAGGCCTCAGAGTGGATTCTAATATGATAAACCATCTGCTCCACCTCTCGTCTCCCCCAACACTCCCCATTTAGGAGTGCCCTGCCAGGGTGTAAGTGGAGGACCTACTTTGTTTTAAGTTGGAATTAGCTCTCATTGTAATGCCTATTGCTTCACTTGAGGAGACCCTCTAGTGTTTCCTTCTGAACTGGTGAATTACTGATGGCTGTCCTGGTATGGTCTGGTTTGAGAATGTCTTGTGCCTTCATTCCTTCTGACCTTGCCTCAGTCTTTTAAGTTCTTTGATAACTAAGGAAGATTATGTTAAGATGGAAGCTAACATATCCACAGCACCTGAAGCCCAGGTGGAACCAGGGCTTTGGCACTGACTGCTGTTTCTCCCCTTCACCCTTGGTCCCCTAAATCAGGAGTTTCAGGGTTTTCATTCAGATGAAGATGTGGCCCCCAGTTCCCTGCGCTCTGCGCTTCGGTCCCAGCGAGGTGAGTGATGGGGAAACTCTACCTCTCTAGTGTTCTGGGTAGGTTCTTGCCCCTTGTGTTCAGCTAGTCGCCACCAGTTACTGAGTGTGTCCTGTGTTCAGTCTAAGGTAGCCTGGGCTGTGGGGGAAAACAGACCAGTAAGACTTAGTATCCTGACCTTCTGGGGTGCTTTCCTTAAGACTACAGGGCCAGCTTGACCCATCTCCCCACAACTGTTCTCCTTTTAGGTCGAGCCCCCCGGGGTCGGGGCCGCAAGCATAAGACGACCCCCCTTCCTCCTCGCCTAGCAGATGTGGCTCCTGTCCCCCCAAAGGCCCCTACTCGGAAACGGGGTGAGGAGGGCACAGAACGGATGGTGCAGGCACTGACTGAACTTCTCCGGCGGGCCCAAGCACCCCAACCCCCCCGGAGCCGGGCACGGGCACGTGAACCTTCTACTCCCCGTCGGTCTCGGGGAAGGCCCCCAGGACGGCCAGCTGGCCCCTGCCGGAAAAAGCAGCAAGCAGTAGTGGTAGCAGAGGCGGCTGTGACAATCCCTAAATCTGAGCCTCCGCCTCCTGTGGTTCCAATAAAGAACAAAGCTGGCAGTTGGAAATGCAAGGAGGGACCTGGTCCAGGACCTGGAACCCCCAAACGTGGAGGACAGCCTGGGAGAGGAGGCCGTGGAGGCAGGGGCAGAGGCCGAGGCGGACTTCCCCTTATGATCAAGTTTGTTTCCAAGGCCAAGAAAGTGAAGATGGGACAACTGTCCCAGGGACTAGAATCAGGTCAGGGTCATGGTCAACATGAGGAAAGCTGGCAGGATGCCCCCCAAAGAAGAGATGGAGATGAACAGGAAAGGGGCTCATGTAGAAAGAAGCAGGAGCAGAAACTGGAGGAGAAGGGAGAAGAGAAGGAAGAAAAAGAAGATGACAATGAGGGTGACAACAAGCAAGAGGAAGAGGAGGAGACTGAGAGAGCTGTGGCTGAGGAAGAAGAGATGGCAGCCGAGGAGAAGGAAGAGGCAGAGTGTCCGTCACCACCCTTGACTCCTCCCGTCCCTTCACCACCACCTCCTCTACCACCCTCTTCCACATCTCCGCCACCTCCAGCATCTCCTCTACCACCCCCAGTTTCTCCTCCTCCTCCACTCTCCCCTCCCCTATATCCAGCCCCAGAGAAGCAGGAAGAGTCTCCCCCTCCTGTCCCAGCTACATGCTCTAGGAAGAGGGGCAGGCCTCCCCTTACTCCTAGCCAGCGGGCAGAGCGGGAAGCTGCTCGCTCAGGACCAGAGGGCACTCTTTCTCCCACTCCAAACCCCAGCACCACCACAGGAAGCCCTTTGGAAGACAGTCCTACTGTGGTCCCCAAAAGTACCACCTTCTTAAAGAATATACGGCAATTTATTATGCCTGTGGTGAGTGCTCGCTCCTCCCGTGTTATCAAAACACCACGGCGATTTATGGACGAAGACCCTCCCAAACCTCCAAAGGTGGAGGCTTCTGTTGTTCGACCTCCTGTTGCAACCTCCCCACCTGCTCCCCAGGAACCAGTACCAGTCTCCTCTCCACCTCGTGTCCCAACTCCCCCATCTACCCCAGTCCCACTCCCTGAGAAGAGGCGGTCTATCCTAAGGGAACCCACATTTCGCTGGACTTCACTAACCCGGGAGCTGCCACCGCCTCCACCTGCTCCTCCACCAGCCCCGTCTCCACCACCTACTCCTGCCACTCCCTCCCGGAGGCCCCTGCTCCTTCGGGCCCCTCAGTTTACCCCAAGTGAAGCCCACCTGAAGATCTATGAATCGGTGCTTACCCCTCCTCCTCTTGGGGCTCTTGAAGCCCCTGAGCCAGAGCTGCCTCCTGCTGATGACTCTCCAGCTGAGCCTGAGCCCAGGGCCGTGGGGCGGACCAACCACCTCAGCTTGCCTCGTTTTGTCCCTGTGGTCACCACTCCGGTTAAGGTCGAGGTGTCCCCCCATGGAACTCCAGCTCAGAGCGAAGGGCAGCAGCTTCAGCTCCAGCAGCCCCCTCAAGCCTCGCAGACCCAGCTCCTACCCCAGGCACTACCACCACAGCAACCACAAGTGCAGCCACCTCCGTCTCCACAACATACGCCACAACTGGAAAAGACCCATGTTGCAAGTCTGGGTCCCCTGCCACTATCTGGGGTGGAGGAAAAAATGTTTAGCCTTCTTAAGAGAGCTAAGGTGCAGTTATTCAAGATCGACCAACAGCAACAGCAGAAGGTGGCAGCGTCGATGCCGGTGAGTGTGGTATTCTGAGCAGGTCCTGCACTCCGTCTGTCCAGCTGCCTCTCTAGATAGTGTTTAGCAGGACCACACAGGACCAGTTTCCCTCTTAGCTCCATGTGTTTGTACCCGGGTCCCATCCCGTCCCGTCCCTCTCCTGTCCCTGTTCCCGCTGGTCCTCGAGACGCAGCCCCTGACCCTGTTACTTTCCTCTGCCAGCCAAGCCCTGCAGTACCGACCGAGGAGGCTGTGGGGACTGTCAAACAGGCCCCAGACAGAGGCTGTGTCAGGTC